GCGCAGGGCTGCGGAGCCCGCGCTGCTTCTCCCGTCCGAGCGCAAAGCGGGACTCCGGGGCGGCACCCTCCCACACCTCGCTCGCCCCGGGAGGCAAGCCGGGCGTACCGCTGGGGAAACCGAGGCCCGGCGGAGGGCCCGAGCGCGCGTCGTCGGCCCTCGCTGGCTTCTCTTGCCAGTCCCGGGTCACGGGTCACGTGCGGGGAAGTGGCCGCAGGCCCCTCCTGTGCGACCCAGGAATGGGGGGCGAAGACCAGCTCGGCGTCTTCTCGACGCTCCGGGCTCCCTTCTGCGGCGGTGTCCGGCTCTGGGCTGTGACGGCCGCGGCCGTCGTGTCTGCTCTTGCGCCTGCCACTCCTTCCCCAGCTTTCCTTTCCACTCCCGCGCCCCAGGGCTGTACAGTTTTGCCCCGGGGCAGCCAGCTCTGTACTTGATAAAACTTTGAGTTGCCCGCGGCTGAGATCCAGGAAACGGCGGGGGAATTTCACAGCTGCGGAGTTCGTCCTTTCCCATTTTCCCGTACCTTTGCCTTCTTGCGATGTCCCTAACCCTGGGGCACTGACCGCGGACAGTGGACCATTTCCAGGAGCACTGGGGAAGCTCCGGAAGGGTATTGGGGTGACCTCCGGGATCCGCGTCGGGAAAGAGGGGGCATTGCAGCTGAGGCCGGAGAGTCCCCTGGGGGTCACCTCCAGGCTGCCGTAGTGTTCATGCCAGGGACCGGGCATTCATGTCTCCAAGGGCATTCAGTCTGTCTGGTGCCACCGCACCTGCGGTGGTATGTCACCCCCCTTCTCCCATGTCAGACTACGCAGTGGACCTGGCTGCTCCATTCAGCTTTTGTGTGCCTGGGGCCCCGGCCTCCAGGGAGAGGTAGGCAAGTGTCGGCTGGGACATGGGCTCCAAGTTACTGACCATGTGATGCTGCCCAGACCCCTGGAGGGGCAGGCTCCTCCCTGCCCGCCCCCAGGAGATGCCAGGGGCTGCTGTGAGTGTGTGGGGAGAGCACTGGCCAGTGGCCGCACAGAGCAGGCAGTGCAGGGCGAGGATTCTGCTGCCTGCCCTCGGTGAACTCACTTCCTCGCAGGGCAGCCAGCCGCAGGTGGCCTTTGGAGAGAGCACGTGTTGTTTTGGGTGGAACGTTCGGGAGGTTGTTCGCACAGGATGTTTCAGAGGACCCAGTAGACGACACTTTCAGGCTCTGCCCAACCACCACCCTGGGAAGGGGCGGAAACTGTTTCCAGCTGTCTCTCTGGGATGACCCAGCATTTGGGGTGTCCTGACTTGTGTCCCGACAAGGAGCCCCTGGCCTGGGCGCTGGTGGGCGGGCACGGACCCCAGCTCTGCTCAGCCCAGCGACCCCGCACACCCTCGCACACGCCTCTTTTCTGTTGCCCAGGTGGTTCTTCCACTTGGAGAGTCTCACGTGACCCCTGCCACCGGGCTGGAGCGAGGCTGGCCCCACACGAGTTACGATGCTCAGTGTCAGGCTAGGCCAGCTAGCCATGCCCATGAGAGCCACGCCCGGGTGCAAGGCCCCTGTAGAGCGGTGTGGGCAATGTGTCTGTGCCCATGAGAACGGTGTCCAGTGGGCACCACCTGGCCCTGGTGTCCACTGGGGGCTCACCGGCACCAGGTAAGTGCCCACTAGAGAGCAGCCTGGCCCCAAGGCTGATGGGCACCAGCAGGCAGAGCCAAGGACTCAGAGAGGCTAATCTGCCAGCGGTGGGGGCCTCTCCCTGGGAACCAACAGGCAGGGGGAGCCTGCAGAGCGTGTGGGGCCCTCGCTGTTTGTTCCCGGCCCGTGCTGCTGTGACCGCCTCCCCTCTGTCCCAGACTGGCCACCGCCCATGCCATTTCCTTCTGTGCTGCTGGGGGCCGCGGGCCTCATGCTTCCGGGCAGCCGGAGCCGCTGGACCTGTCCTGTCAGGGCCGCCACGGTGGGCGGGGAGGGGTTACTTCTCTGTTCCCCACCCCTTTCTGCCCAGGCCAGGTTTCCCGATAGGAGAAGCCCCCTGTGAATGCTGATGACCCAGTGTCTGCGCCTCTCCCTGCTGGGGGACCCCTTCACCACGGCCGGCATCACCAGTGTGGACGTGAGCAGGGCTTTCAGGCCGCTGCCCTGGAGATCGGGCTCCCATACCTCCCCACCCACCCAGGTCACTCAAGCTGGCCTAGCCCCCTAGAGGGGGTGTTAGTGTCAGGAGACTGAGGGGTGCTTCAGAGCTCAAAGTGGACCCGGCTCGGGGCTGCGGCTCTCCCCGCTCCCTACACACTCCAGGAGCACGTGACACCGGAGAACAAATGGCCATGCTGGTGAGGACAGCCTTGCTGAGCTGCTGGCCTCTGTCCAGCACAGGACCACCCCACCTCAGGCAGGCGGCCCTGGCTGCTCACCCAGAATGCTGCACACCTGCCGGAGGCTGGCAGTGGACTTTCCAAAGGAGAAGGCTGTGACCGTGGCCACGACCTGGATCCTTAGGCCTCTTGGAGAGGAGACTGCCCGTGTCCTCAGCTCGTCCCCTCCCGCACAGAGTGGGTGTAGAAGGCAACTCGGAGAAGGGGCTCAGGCCAGCAGAGCAGAAGGAGGACAGCTGTGTCTTGTCTCGTCCCCTCCTGGTGCCACCCTGAGACCAGCCCCTCTACCACCTACAGATGAGGGTCTGCCCAGTGTCCCACAGTGGGGAGTCCACCATTGTCCCCTCTCCCCACTTACCTCAGAACCACTGTCAGCCTCCTGTCCTCTAAGCCCCAGAAGAATGCTTCCTTCTACGAGAAGTCTTCCCTGATTGACCCCTCTCGAGAACACCAGAGTCTGGAGAAGTTGGGCCATAATCCACGGTGGCCATGGCCCAGTGGCCCTCTATAGGAGTGGCTGCGAGGTCTTCTCTGGGGTGCCCCCCAGAGGGCTGGGACGAGCTAGAGCCCCCAGAGGGTCTGAAGCTGCCCCACGTGACAGGGGCAGGCATACCGAGGAAGATGAGCCACGCTCCTCGGCTTCGAGGGGAGCGGAGGCCAAGGTCAGTGCTGCGCGAGCAAAGCCTCCCTCCTGCCCCTGCCGTTGGGCCGGCGTCCTGTGGCACCGTGTCCTCATTCCCACTCTGTCCGCGCGCCAGATGAACACCTGTGGGGACACCGACCGAGGGAGGTGCATTCCGAGCAGTCCTTCCTGACCTGTGGGCTGTGACTGACCTAAATGAGAGGTCCCTAAGTGGCCAGGAAGAGGCATGGAGACCGCGGCTGTACTGGCCGGTCCCGCTGGGGCCCCAAAAGCCTTTCCCACCCTGCCTCCCCTCGCCAGCCACTGCAGAAGGTTCTCTCCCTCCCTGGCCAGAGCCTCCGGCCACCCCACCCACCACGTCGCCACTGCACATCACTGCTCTAAGCCACCCGAAGGCTCTCCACCTGGGGCCCCCGAATGGACAGGCCGAAACTACTGCCTGTGTGCAGTGAGGGGCTGCCTGGCAGCCGAGCGACCGCTGGCCTGAGGTTGGGGCGTCTGCCAAAGGGTCCCCTGGAGTCAGCAGCCGGCTGAGGTGGAACCCAGCCCAGGGGCAGCACGGGCTGAGCACCGCAGGGAGGAGTGGGCCCGAGAGGCAGCCTCCAGCACCCTGCGGGCCCCGGTCGCCCCCCTACGCCCACCCCCGCCCAGGCCTAACTGCACCCTAGAATAATGCCGTGGGTGGGGCGGGTTCTGGGGCAACAGGGTGAAGTTCCACAGTGCAGAGGGTGGGCAGCGAGCCATCAGCCACCACCTGCCCGAGGCTCCCAGACCCCCGCCACACCGCTGTCGGGCCCCGCAGAATCGGCAGCCTCTTCCCGAGGCCCCGGTGCCAGCCATAAGGCCCCTCCCGCCGCACTGCTGCGCATCCCCCACGGTGCCCAGGCTCCCGGCTGCTCATCACTCAGCCAGGCGGTCCCCATGGGCGAGCGTCCCTGGCCCACTCGGTCACGGAGCGCTTGTGAGCTGCTGGCAGAGGGTGGCCTGGCCTATGACCTGTGGCCTCCCTACAGGGCTGTGACACCCAGGCGAAGACACAGCATGGCCACCTGCAGAGCCACAGGGCCCGGATCCACCAGCAAATGGACAAGGTTCTACGGATGCGGGCGGGGGCCGAGAACCTCTACAGGTGAGCAGTGTCGCCGTCCCTGCAGGTGACCGTGACCAGTGCAGGCTCTCAAGAGGCAGGGCTGGGTCTGGGGCAGCCATGCCCCTCAGCCCTGTGGGCCTCACTGGGAGGAGCAGCTCAGGGCCAGCCAGATTCTGTACTGGGCTGGAGCAGAGCTGGAGGGGTGTTCATGCCGGCGTGCAATGTGGGGCCCCCCGATACGCCTGTGGTGACCGGGGGCTTCTCAGAAGCCACTGCTTAGCTTGAGCTGTGGCAGGTGACCAATATCCTGAGGTTGGGGACCAGGGAAAGGGTCCCTCAGACTGAAGAGGCCCCTCTCCCTTGGAGCGCACGAGCTGCGCACGCTCAGACCTTCACAGGCCTCCCAGAGCCTGCTCGCTGGGTGACGACCTGCACCACGGCCCGTGAGTGCAGTGCCAGCCGGGGCTCCAGGGCGGCCCCTCCTTTTCCTTAGCAACCTGTCTTCGCTGTCCACCCCATCCCCGCCCCCAGCCTGGCCTTCCTAGGGACCCACAGCCCCTCCAGCTGGCACCCAGATGGAGGCACAGAGGGTCTGACCCCACCATTCCAGGGGAGTTGGTTTGGGGTGTCTGCGAAGGGCACAGCCTGCATCCTCGGGGAGGGAGGGGTGCTGGAGGGCCCGAGTCAAGGTGTGCACACACGAATGGGAATCTGCATGAACCTCGGAGACTTGGGGGAAAGGGCAGTCATCTCACGGGCCCTGGACCCCACTACTGGCCCCTGGGGCTGGGCCCGTCAGCAGGGGCCTCTGGGAGTGGGCTCTGGAGCACAGGCTGGACAGGGCTGCCGCATGGCCCAGGGCCGTGTGGCCCACCTGCCCAGCCGGGGCTTCACCTCAGCCTGGCTTCCCCAGAGCCACCAGCAACGCGCGGGTCAGGGAGACGGTGGCCCTGGAGCTGAGCTACGTCAACTCCAGCCTGCAGCTGCTGAAGGAGGAGCTGGAGGGGCTCAGCTGCAGCGTGGACGCGGATGGGGCCGGGAGGTGAGCACGTGCCGGGGGCTCGTGTGTGCGTGTGCGAGGACGCAGGCTGGCCTGGGGGTGCGTGTGCACGCGTGTGTGCATGCCGGAGGGTGCCGCTGAGGACCACAGGTGTGTGGGCGTGCGAGAATGCGTTTCAGTCGGGAAGAGGTGTGTCACATGTCGCAGGAGCAGCAGGGGGTAGACTCCATGGCCATGGGGCACAGCAGGGTCCAGCCTTAGTCTGCACTTGCTGCTTCTGGCTCTAGTGACGGTATCACTGTCCCCATGATCCCCCTGGGGCTGAAGGAGACCAAGGAGCTGGACTGGTCCACGGCCCTGAAGGTGAGTGCTGGCCTGTGCGCCCTTCCCTGAGCTCTGGTCTGGGGACGCCCTGCGCTGGGGTCTGGAGAGACCCTGGAGGCTTCTTGGGGGCGGCTGTCTGTTTGAACAGAGGAGGAAACTGAGGCCGAGTGCGGAATCTGACTGGGGGGTGCCCAGCCTTCCCAGCCGGGGGGAATTCTGCGTGGGTGGGCTTTGGAGAAGAGTCCCCTCGGGTGGGTGTGGCAGAGCTGGCCGCCGGGTCCCTGACTCTCTGAGGGTCCCACTGGCCGGGGGCTGCCCCCTCCAGTCAGAGCCTAGGCTGTGAAAGCCCGCCGGTTCCCAGGGTCCTCGGGGCTGGCTTGCCACTGTCCCACAGGCCCGGAGGAGAGGCCTCGGTGTCCTGCCCCGCGGGGGTTGATGAGGGAATTCTAGCAGAAACAGCACCCCATCTCTGCTCCCACATGTGCGCTGGTGGGGATTCCCGAGGGCCAGAGGTGGGGACCCACATCAGCCCTTCTCCAGGGGCCAGGGCCTCCCCCACTGTGGGCTGGAGACCAGGGAAGGCCAGCGCCTGCTCCCCCGACCCCAATCAGGAGCTGATCTCCGGGCACTTCGGAGAGGACAGCACCTCCTATGAGGCGGAAATCAGGGAGCTGGCGGACCTGCGGCAGGTGGGTGGCCCGCCCTAGACCGGCCACGTGCAGTTCACAAATGAGGCTCCGTCAGTAACGGAAAGTGGAGCTTCGTGCAGCCGTTCACACCACAGGAGTCCCCGCCCCGGGGCAGCTCCGAGGACAGTCGGGAGATGGGACGCTGTGGGCACACGTGCGCACCCACACACCCAGGCCCACAGACGGCCGTGCCTGCAGGCCGCTGCCAGCCCTTTGGGAGTGGCTGCTCCGTGCCTCTCCCCTCCCCAGGGACCCTGCCTAGTTCTCTCACCCCAGCACTGCACCCCCTTGTTCCCTCCTCAGCCTCCCGGGGTGGCACGCATGGCCCGCGGCAGCCCAGGGTGACCCAGGTGCTCCCGTGGGGCTGCAATGTCCGAGGGGGTCCCAGGGCGGTGTGTGTTGCGGGGTGAGCCAGATGGTGGGGCCCAGCTGGTCCTGCCCGCAGGCCATGCGGACACCCAGCCGGAGCGAGGCAGGCCTGGAGCTGCTGGCAGCCTACTACAACCAGCTGTGCCTCCTGGACGCGCGCTTTGTCCCCCCCGGCCGGAGCCTGGGGCTGCTCTTCCACTGGTAGGGGTTGGGACGTGTGGGGTGCCCTGGGGCCCAGCCGGCCTCCCCTGCCTGCGCCCCATTTCTGAGACTTGCAGCTTGTTGCCATGGGACCCCGCCCAGCCTGAGCCACTCCTGCAGGTACGACTCGCTCACGGGGGTCCCGGCCCAGCAGCGGGCCCTGGCCTTTGAGAAGGGCAGTGTGCTTTTCAACATTGGAGCTCTCCATACCCAGATCGGGGCTCGTCAGGACCGCTCCTGCCCCAAGGGCGCCAGCCGGGCTGCGGAGGCCTTTCAGAGGGCTGCTGGTGAGGGCAGTGCAGACCCCAGACCCACGGCCACAGGCAGGCTGCGTGTGTCTGCCCGTTCCAGGCACCCGCTGTTCTCAGGGACGGAGCAGGGGGTTGGGAGGAGGGTGGGGCTAGGCCCGCAGGCCCTGCTGGGGAGCAGTGGTGCCACCTGAGCCAGGGCTGGGTGTAGGGCAGCCCTGCTGTGCCTACCTGGAGCACCCCCTTTGCAGGAGCCTTCAGCCTCCTGAGGGAGAAGTTCTCCCACGCCCCAAGCCCTGACATGAGCCCCGCCTCGCTCTCCATGCTGGAGCAGCTCATGACCGCCCAGGCTCAGGAGTGTGTCTTCGAGGGCCTCTCATTGCCGGCCCCCGCGGTCCCCCACGACTGCCTGGCCCAGCTGCACCTAGCTCAGGAGGCCGCCCAGGTGAGGACAGAGGGCCCCTGTCCCAGGGGAGCCCTGGATAAGCACCTTGAGCCCTTGTCTGGGCCTGGCCAAGCTGTGCTGGTTTAGTGGCCCAGGGACCTCGATTGGGCCCCAGGCAGGGGACCGGGGGGAGGGGGCAGAACCCACAACAGAGGACCCAGTGTCCTGGCTATATGCTGTGGCTGTGTCTCCTATTGGTTTCCAAAGCTGGCTGTTGTCCTGGCCCCTGTGGGGCCGGTCAGGGCCCAGAGTCCTCCGTCCCTGCCTCGGGGGCAGCACGATCAGCAGGGCACAGACCCTGAGTGGGGCTCAGTCTGGGACTTGTGGCAGGGCTGCTGGGACTGCGTCTGGGGCCAGGCCCCAGGGCAGAGAGAGTTCGAGGCTGAGGCTGCTGGGTGGGGCCTGGCTGGGCTCATGCTGGAGTCCCCAGGAGGGCCCCACTGCCACATGTACCGGCAGGTGGCAGCCGAGTACGAGCTGGTGCATAGGACCATGGCCCAGCCACCTGTCCGCGAATACGTGCCCTTCACCTGGACCACGCTGGTGCACGTCAAGGCCAAGTCCTTCCACGCCCTGGCCCACTACCACGCGGCTGTGGCCCTCTGCGGCGGCCCCTGTGAGTGCCCTGCCCCTCGGGCCGTGTGCCTGCGGAGGCCCTGGCGCGGGGCTCACAGCTTTCTCCCACCCCCAGCGGCCCCGCCGGAGCTCCTGGCTCTGCAGCAGGTCTTCCGCGGGCCCCCGGCCCCGTCACTGCCGCAGGAGCCAGAGGAGCGCAGGAAGCTGGGTGAGGCGCTGGGCTGACTGTCCCTCCCACGGGGCAGTGGTGGGGTAGCCATCCGCCTGCTGGACGCCCCCACCTGCCGGGCAACACCCGGAGCAGGGGCACACGTCGTGGGAGGCTTTTGCCCGGCCCGACCGTCCACACCTGGCAGCTCCTCCTGGGCCTGCCAGTGGACCGCAGGACGAACCCAGAAGCCCTCACCTGCCCCCATCTCGTGACGTGTGGGGGTGGGGGGCCGGGGGGCTGCGCGTGACGAGCGCGTGACGGCTGTCCTGTGCAGGAAAGGCCCACCTGAGGCGGGCCATCCTGGGCCAGGAGGAGGCGCTGCGGCTGCACGCCGTGTGCCGCACACTGCGCAGGGTAGACCTGCTCCAGGCCGTGCTGGCCCAGGCGCTGCGGCGCTCGCTGGCCAAGTACTCGGAGCTGGACCTCGAGGACGACTTCTTCGAGGCCACCGAGGCCCCCGACATTCAGCGTGAGCAGCCAGGCCCATCGGGGTGGGTGCGTCCTGGACAGGGGGAGGCCGTGGGCCGAGACCCCTGCAGCTGTGGGTACAGACGCAGCGCCCACAACCCACTGGGCCGAGGGCCCCAAAGACGGAGCAGGGCGCATGGAGGTGACCCCCCCACCCCCACTTCCTGCCCTGTGGGCCAGCCCCTCGGCACCGCCACACTTCCTCCTCCCAGTGGAGGTGGCCAGGCGCCACTGTCCAGGGCGGGCCAGTGCCGCCCACTCTGCTGCGGCCAAGCCGCATCCCACGGGGCCCCAGGCCTCCGGGGGCCGCGAGTCCCCGGCTTAGCCCTGCCTTCCCTTCACCCTTTCAGCTAAGACACGCCAGAGGCCGGAGGTCAGGGTCCCCAGCTTGTCCCAGGGGAAGGCGGCTGACATCTTCCACCGGCTGGTGAGCACCCTTCCCAGGTGGCTTAGGCCAGGTGGCTCCGTCCCGTGATTTCACTGCCCTGGGCGAGGCCCCCAGACAGGCCCATGACAAAGGCCGGGCACCCCACTGCTTTCTGTCCCAGGATGTAGACGTTGGAGTGCGGGTGTTATAGGCCGGGGCTTCTGCCACAGAGCAGCCCAGCTTCTGACCTCCGACGGCCCCCAGGGGCCCCTGTCCGTGTTCACAGCCAAAAACCGCTGGCGGCTGGTGGGGCCCGTCCACGTGACCCGAGGGGAGAGTGGCTTTGGCTTCACGCTGCGGGGAGACTCACCCGTCCTCATCGCTGCCGTCGTCCCGGGGGGCCACGCTGCAGTAAGGACCCCTGTCCCGTCCCCCAGGGCCAAGCCTGTGCTGAGCTGACATGGCCTAGCATGAAGGGGAAGGGAGGGACTGTGGCCAGAGGCAGGGTGGGGTCTGCGAGGGTCTCCAGAGCATCCCGTGTCCCTGCAGGCCGCCGGCCTGCAGGAGGGCGACTACATCGTGTCTGTGAACGGGCGGCCCTGCAGGTGGTGGAAGCATGCCGAGGTGGTGGCCCAGCTGAAGGGTGCAGGCGACGAGGGCGTGAGCCTGCAGGTGGTGACGCTGCTGCCCAGCACTGAGCCACCCAGCACAGTGAGCCCCAGGGTCGCTGGGGGGTGGTCCCCAGCCCCCAGTCCTCCCCCAGCCCTGGTCCTCCAGACCCCAGACATCCCCGGATGCTGCGAGGGCCTTGGAAAGAGGAGGCTGGCGCTCGGCGGCCCTCCGCAGGGTGGCCTGGACAGGAGTGACCTATGCTGCAGCCTCCACCCCTCACGTAACCCACAACATGCCCCTGACACCTCCCCGTCACACTCACCAGGCTGGCCGCGCATGGGCCAGGCCAGGGTGCTGACCCCTCCGCCTCTCTGACCTGGCTGCAGGGGGATCGCCGGCCAGCCCTGCGGGGACTTCTGAGAAGCCAGAAGGAGTGTGGCTGGGAGACTCCGGCGCCGGCACAAGCCAGCCCCAGGCCTCTGCTTGGCTGGAGCTGCAAGGCCAAGAGGGGCAAGACCGTGGGGAGGCCGCCCCCAGCCTCCCAGCCCTGAGCTGCAGCACCCGCACCCTCTGGGCGCCTGGCAAGGCCGTGAGGGGCGGGCTCCCTGCATACCTGGCCCCCGCGCAGGCTCCAGCTGGTGTCTTCCCCACCCCAGAGGACCCTCAGGCCAGTTTGCCGCTCAGTCCAATGCCCAGGTGCCCATTAAAGACAGTGTCAGATGAGGAGCGTCTGAGCCCAGTGCAGAGGCCGGCACTCTGCCACACAGGAAGTGCCACTGTCACCCTGGACGCTGAGCCCCAGGGGCCGGGAAGCTGCAGAGGAGGGCAGCTTCCCAGGCAGGGTGGGAGTGCCCAGACGCTTGTCCTGGGCCCTGAAGGAGCCGACTGGAGAGCTGGGGCTCTACGGGGTGGTGTCCGTGGTCCAGACTCACACCCCCTGCAGTAGGCTCCAGAGGTCCCTCAGCCGGCCTGTCTCAACACGCCACACGCTGTCCACAGCCCCCCTAGGGGATGTGTCTGCCCCACCCCAAGCTTCTTCCTGGCCTGCAGTGATGCCTGCTAGGCACCCCTCCACTGGCCCAGCAGGCACCCCACAGGTTGACAAGGTCCAGCTCCCTCCAGGCCTCCTTGTCCTTCCCCTCCCTTCACACAGCCACCTGGGGTGCCCACAGCACCACAGCATCCTGCCAAGGCCCACCCCTGCAACACCTGTCATGTTGCCCACTGCACAGAACACAGACCCCTCCCTACTTCAGTTCCCAAGCCCCCTCATCCCGACACACCCCCTGTGCGTGGAGGTCCTAAACCGCATAGGAGCCCTGCACCTATTGCTCGCTTTGTCCGTGCTGCTCCCCACGGAACCGGCCGGCCAAGCCCAGCCCCCGTCCCAGCTTCATCCCGCCAAGCCCTGCCCCTTCACCTGGGCCACGCCCCGCAGCCCTGTCCTAGCACCCGAGGCCGCCGGTCCAGTCCGAGGGCAGGCGGTCGTAAGGCTACCTCGTCCCCCAGCGACCGGAGCCAGCACCGAGGGCGCTCCCAGCCCGCCCTGCTCCGGACTCCATGCTCTCGCCCCCGTGCGGTACCCGCTGGGCTCCTGGACTGTGCGCCCTCCGTGTCCCCGGGCTGCAGAAGGGGGACGGCCTCAGAGGTCATGGGCGGGCACACTACCTGGGTCCCGCGGAGGGCGGCTCAGGACCTGGGCCCAAAGAGAGGGGTGAGGAAGGCCGCGTGGGTGGCAAGTCTGCGGGAAGCCACGTGGAGGGTCGCTGGGCCTGAGCGGATTGGGGTTATACGCCAGGCTGGCCGTGGGTTCCTATGGCCACCAGGGGGCAGCCGCTGCTCACTCAAGCGGCCGCAGGAGGCGGGATCTGCGGGGCGGGCAGCAGGTCCGCGAGGTCGAAGGGCCCCCCTACCCCGCAGGCCGAGGCCCCGCCCTCCGGCGTCGTCCCTGCCTCTTCCCTGGGGTTCCCAGACAGGAGCAGCCCACGGGACGTGGCCCCTGCATTCACCGCCCCACTCTTGCTTTAGTGTCATTGTCGGGGTCCCCGGTGGAGTTTGGGGTGAGTGCGGGTGAGGAGGGCGTTAGTGGAGGGTTGAGAATGGGTCAGTGGGTGTGGTGAGTGTGTGTTGGGGAGACAGCACAGGCTCAGGCAGCCTCCCGAGGCGGGAGGGCAAGGCTCCCGGGCCTACCTGAGCCTGGGGCTGGGGTGTCCAGGTGTGACCCTCACCAACCCCCCTGCCCGGTGGAGGAGAATGCCCCTCTCAGCAGAACCAGCCAAGGTCACCTCAGCGCTTATTAATTTGATTAATAAAACTGTGCGTCAAAGAGGCCATTACCTGCTAATCAGGGACGACAGGGCTGGTGGGTCCTGTCTAGAACACAGTGACTCCGCCGCCTCCTGCAGCCCCTCTGGACCCAAGAGGCGCACTCAGAGCCATGGGAGGGATGGGGGTCAGGAGCTGTCACCTACCTCTCACACCAGGCTGGGGGAGGGGACCCTTCCCCAAAATGAGCCCCTCCCCACTGCAGACAACCTGGGGCGCACACCCTCACAGGCGTCTCCCAGCCCCGCCCCCGCCGGCCCCACGGCCTCCTGGCTGAATAGACAGCGGCTGACCGGTCCAGGGCACCGCTCTGGGCCTGGCACAGCCTGCAGCTTCTCCTCGGTGGTCCGCGATGCCTTGCGCCGCCCCCGGGAGCAATGCCGCACCCTCTGGGGCACGGACCTGCGGGAGAGCGCCGGGGCCTTGCGCTGGCAGCGTGAGTGGGCCCCGCCGCAAACGCCTCAGCACGTGTGGCGCAGGGTGGGGTCGGCGCCTGCCCCGTGTGTGCTGGGGGCCCGTCCGGCTGGGCGGTGGGGGGCGGTGTCCACGAGAGCCTGCCGGGCGGAGGGCTTTCCCGGGAGCCGTGTTGCCCCGCCTGGGAGTGGCTCGTGGGTGTGCCCGCCAGACCGCCAGGGAAGTTGGTCTTCCCGAGCGCCTGTCCCCAAAGCAGAAGCTCCGGCCTCGATCCTGCCCGCTGCCTGTGCTCTCTGCTCACCTCGTTCCTGGCTGGCACCTTCTCAGCCTCCCCCAGTCAGGGCCGCACTTTATGTCTGGGCTTCAGACCCCATTTTCTGGACCAGCAACATCCCCGTGTGTCACTGTGTCATAGACGGGCCGTGCCCATGGGCAAGGACTGCACCAGCTCATCCACAAACTCAGAGAAGGTTCACTGACCGGGTGTGAGTGTCCCACCCTGTGTGCCGTCTGGGGAAGGAGGGTGGGTGCCAAGGGCCGCTGAGGCGGCAGCAGGACGCTGCCCGGCTCCCCGGCTCCAAGCGCAGAGCGGCTCGGGGTCCAAGTGCCGTCTGGGGCAGGAGGGTGGGTGCCAGGGGCCGCTGAGGCGGCAGCAGGACGCTGCCGGGCTCCCCGGCTCCAAGCGCAGAGCGTCTCGGGGTCCGCTCGGGGAGGACCGGGAGAGCGCGGGGCTGAGCCCACGGATGCGCAGACGGCCGCGGGGGGCCCCGGGCTGTCCACACCCCGCGAGCGCACCCCTGAGGCACGGCGGCCCACGCAGGGACGTCTCGTTTTCCAGCGCGGGCCCCCCGGGCAGGGAGTGGGGGGAGTGCGCACTGCGATCCTTTCTGCTTTGCCAACAGAAAACCGCGGAGAGGGGAAAAGGCAAACTCCGTTTCGCTTGGGTCAGCAGCGAGCGGCGCAGAGATTGATGAGGGCGGCGCGCGCGGCGGAAGGGGGCCCTAAGGAGGCCGGCGGGGCGGGGGGCGCAGTGCTGGACTGAGAGGGGGGCGGGGACGCCAGGGCCACCGGGCAGGGGTCTCCTCTGCCCCCCTGCCCCTCCCAATTCACTCTCCCCCAGGCGCCCGACCTCCCCCTTCCCCTCCAACCTCTAACTGCCCAACCCTGACCCCATCCCCTTGCCCGCTGCCCAGCCCGGCTCTGTGCACTCTCCTCTCCACTTCGCTAAGTGCCAGCCCCTGGGCTGAGCCCACAGGAGGCAGCGCTGGGGACCCACTGCCAGTGTGAGAGGGGGTAGGACGCCCCAAAACTTCACAGCCTCCCCCCCCACCGCGACCCACCCCCCTTCTGGCAAAGACCACCCAGGGTGGTCTCAAGGGCCTGGGGATCCAGCAGTGGGGGGCACGGGAGGTGGTAAGTGGGAGAAGCAGCAGTTTCCACCCAGGGCGCCCGGGAGAATGAGTCGTGGGGGGCCTGCCCGAGTCTGGGTGAGGGGTGGGGACCGGGGTGGGCTGGAGAGTGGGAGTGTCCTGCAGGGGCCTGAGCCAGAGCCAAGGCAGGGACTCTGCTGGGGACACTGCTGTGCTGTCTTTGAAACTGTAGTGGGCTCAGTGTGGCCCCCCGAAGATTCGGCCACCTGGAACTGTGACCGTGCCCTGGTTCGGGAAAAGGGTCTTTGCAGCTGCAATCACGTCGAGGATCTCGGGTGAGGTCACCCTGGGTTACCCAGTCACCCCGATCCACTGACACGTGTCACTGCAAGAGACAGGCGAGGCCTGTGTGGAGACAGGCAGGTTGCAGCCGAGGATGCCGGGGCCCTAGGTGCTGGAGGCACAGCGGGGTCCCCTGTAGCTGCCTTCGTCTCGGACTTCCTGCCTCCAGAGTTTATGGCAGTTTGTCAGAATGGCCACAGGAAACCAATACAGCCACCTCTCCCAAGTCCCCGTGTGTCTGGGCCTCCATTTGTCCTTCTGTAGGATGGACACAATCAGGCGGGGCCTCAGGGTCGGATCAGAGCGGGCTCAGCCCAGGCCGCCTGAGAGAAATGCCACCCCATCGGGAGGGCAGCCCCACTCCTGAGTCACTGTGGCCCGAACACCTGCATTTCAGGGCTGTCCTGCGGAGGCTGAGCCCCCGCCCTACCCCACTGCCCAGCCCCCCTCGGCCCCAGAGCCTCCCGTGTCTGGCCCCTGGAGGCTATATGGCTTTGCGGTGCCTCACCCCCTCTCAGACTGGCTGGCTGTAGGTCCCCAGTGCTGCTGCCTCCTGTGGGCTCAGCCCAGGGACCTGCTGGTGTGGGCTGGGGCTGGAGATGCCAAGGAAAGTCTGGGGGGAGAATCCGCAGGAGGAATTAGGGGTGGGGTGGGAGAGGGCAGGGCCACATTCCAGAGAACGGAGGCTGGAGCTGTGGGGGGGCGGGGGGAGAGGGAGAAGGGGAAGGGAAAATGGTCAGCTCTGTGTCCCCCAGCAGGGCCAGGCCAGACCTGCTGAGGGTTGGAGGTTGGAGTTGCAGGCAGGGGTGGGCCCTGAGGTCTCTCTGGAGGATAGAGGGGCCCCAGAGGGGCAGGGACCCGCTGGTCAGGTGGCTGGGGCCCTGTGGCGGGGGGAGGGTAGCCATGCCTGGCCCAAGGAGACCCTCAGCTAGTGAGAGGAGGCTGGACCAGTGGTCTGGGAGGCTGGCACTCGAGGTCATGCGCTCTGGGGTTGGGGCCTCCCCCTGCCTTGACCAAGAGGAAGGCCTCGGCAGGCCGCCCTGCTGAGAGTGGGAACTCCCTGACTCAGTTTCTCCTTTGTCTTCCGCTGTCTCCTCAGGAGCCCTCGGCCTGTCGGGGCCGAGGCCCACCCTGGGCCGAGGGCCGTGTGTAATGCAGTGTTTACCTGGGGGTGACTGGCAGCCCCCCAGGCTCCTGTCTCCCCTCCCCCTCGGCCCCTGGATGGGTGAGCCAGACGTGCATTAAGGCAAGAGTGACTTATCGAGCTGTCAG